CATCGGGCTCCCTGCTCAGTGGGAAGCCTGCTTCTCCCTCTCCCACTCCCCCTGCTTGTGTTCCTTCTCTCGCGGTTGTCTCTGTCAAATAAATCTTAAAAAAAAAAAAAAAGTTTTAATTTTGAAATTTTTAAAAGCTATTATCAGCCGATAGGCTGTGCCCAGAACAGGGCCTATCACAGAGTAGTCCTTCAATATAGGTTTATGGAAGGAGAGCAAAAGTAAATTCATTCTGAGTGGAGATTGTACAGTCTGGCTATCTTCAAAGCACAAAGTCTGGAAGGATAAATACAGCAAGTTAAAAAAAATTGTTTCAGGGTGAAAATATAGATTAAAAACACGGGACAGATAGTTTAAAAACAGAAATAAATTTCAGAGTCTTTTTTTTCCTTTTACCTGAGAATGTGTCTCATTTTCTTGCAATTGTGTTTTTAGTGTCTCAAATTCTACATTTAGCTTCTCTGTTATTTTCTTAAAGGCATTTCTGCGGGTTGTTAATACTGTTCTCTCCTGATGTAACTTCTAGATAGATTCAAATAGAAATAAATAACAGACTTTAGCAAATATCTAGTAAGCCAATATAAATCATTTTTAACTTAAATAATTTCAATGATATTCTGGTAAAATTCTACCAAGATTATAATTACTCTAAAACCTGTTTGTAAAAATATCTTTTGAGATATAATAAGCTAAATTAGTATTAACTGTATTAATAACTCTACTAAGGTTGCTATATATGTGTTCCTATCCAACCAAATTTACTTTAAATTAATGTACATAGCAATGAAAAACCACTGATGAGTAAATCTTAAGGAGGGAAATTTCATAATCAAACCGGCATTATAACAAAGTTCATATTTGTTGAAATGCTCTTGCTTTTTCTTGCTTTGCCTTTTGTTTAAAACTTACATCTCTCTAAATTCCTCCTATATACATAAACATCTTAGCTTATATATCAAACAATCAACTGCAAATAATAAATTCTATGAACTACATATATATTAAATTTGATCAAGAAAAAACAATTTGAATAATTCTGTAAGACTGTTACCATTTACCTTTTTCTTTTCTTCACCTGATGATTTTAAAGCTGGCAAATCATTATATGTCTCTAGGTCAGCTGTCATTTGCTTAATTTTGCTTTTCAGAGAATGTTGTTCCTCAGTCATCTTACTTTCCAGAAGTTCCATTTTCTGTAGATCCAACTGTAGACGTTGACTATCTGAAACACAAGAAAATTCAAGACCATAATTAGTCAAAACTTTATTCCTTTCACAAAGAGAAATGTAATGCAACCATTAAAAATCATGTTTTACAAGAATATCTGCAAAAGAAACATGTTTCACGTTGTGCAACCAGTGAGACAATACAAAGGTAAATTAAGAAAAAAAAATATTCATCCTCCAGGTAACCAACATAACCTGATGTATATCAACCATATTTATCTCCATGCTCATACAAACATTTAAGAATGCACACAGGTGTTTTTTCCTTACTTAATAACATATATTATGAGATAAAGGCCCATTATTTTTAATAGGGGCATGAAAGCAAATTATGAAATGTTTTATATATATATATACTTATATATATGTATATACACATTTGAACAAAATTTTACAACTACAGTCAATTCTCATTACTTATGGTAGTTTTATTCTATAAAGTCACTGTAAATATTGAGTTAACAAATACTGAACTATTGCTCCTAGAGGGGATATAGGGTTAGGTTCCTGAGAGCCTCTGGTCATAGTATTTTCATCAACCAACTAACACATAACCTTGTTTTATGTGTGTTTCTGTTTAAACACACCTTATTTAATATATATTTTTCATTCATTAACACTGAACTCAAGGCCAACCTTATGCCTGAATGAAGCTAATCTAACATAACGAAGCTAATCTGTAAGGCACAATGCAGCCTTCTTGGGCTTAGGAACACAAGCCAACACTTCAGCAGCATGCTTAGGAGCCATTTTATATAGCAAAATCACAAGCAAAAGTACAAAAATATGGGGAAAAAATGGCACTAAATATGTCACATAAAGGATACTTGCTAATAGTGTGAGGACTAAAACAAGAAGACAGTGTTGCTTTATTTGACCTCTTCTGGGAATGCATGTCAGGCAATTCACATTTTTGACTCTGCACATGTCCACAAATGACTGTGAAAGTGCTAAAAGTACTGATTTCGGAGCTACAAATTAATTATGGTGAGTAGGCAAATTCACAAATACAGAATCCATGAATAATGAGGACTGACAGTATAGATGTGTACGTGAAGGAGGGAGTGTGTGTGTCTCATACTTTGTTTTTAAAGTATGAAGCATCTACTATGTGTTAGGTGCTAAGAATATAATGGAAATCAACAGAAACATTGTTTTTGCTCAAGGAGCTATATTCTAGAAGTAGAACCAGTAAATTAAATATGCATTTATAATAAATGGATAACTACTATGAAAATAGTAATACAGGTAACAGTCTTTACTACTATGAAAATAGTAATACAGGTACTGATCAAGAGCGTTCTCTAAAGACATGCCTTTTAACTGAGTAAGGCCTTAAGGATCAGGAATCAACCAAACCAAGGAGAAAGTAAATGTGTCCCAGAGAACACAATCAACATGTGCAAAGTCTAGAGGTAAGAAAGCATGGTACATATGCACAAATAACAGAAGTTCAGTATGACTAGAACCCAAAGTTCAAAGTGGGAAGAATTTCAGTTCATGAAGGGCTTTTTAAATGAAAATAGAGGGAGTTGGAACTTTATCCTAAGGGCTATGAAAAGTAATCGATGGATTTTAAATCGGAATGTGGCATAATTAAATTTTAGAAAGTTCACTCCGGTTTCAATGTGGGCAATTAATTGGAAAAGCATTAATTGGTACAAAGACCAGTTAAATGTTGAATCAGTGATCTACATAAGAAATCTTAGACTAGTGTAGGGAATTTTTTTTTTTTCACTAAGCAATATTAAGTGCTTTCTGTGTGCCAGGCAAACTTCTAGGCATAGGGGATGCAGCAATGAACAAAGCATATGAGAATCCCTATCCTTATAGAACCTATATTCCAATGGAAGACAACTATATATATGAAATCTAAAGCTATCTCACATGGAAATAAATGAGGAAAAAACGAAGGAGAGATGTAGAGGGACTCAAGAGATATTAGAGAAATTGACTGGATACAGTGGTTGAGCAAGAGGAGTCAATGGAGAGTCCCATTTCCAACTTGAGTAAAGGAGTAGATAGTAGGAAAGGCAGAGGGAGGTATCAACTTTTGTTTGTAGGAGGGAATGAGATGAAGGGTTCATGCCAACTCAGGATATGCTGTTCGAGTTACCTCAGAAACACCCAAATAGTAAACATGCCCACATGCCCATATATAGATATATGGGTCTGAAGCCCTGAGAGAAATTTGAAGACATCATCAACATAGAGACAGCACCTGAAGCTATGGGAATGGGTGAAATCATCAAGAGAAAAGGATTCATGACAGAACCTGTAAGAATAACAAATTTTTAAAGAATAAACTTACATGAAGGATCCCATAAAGGAGAATAAGAAATGACCAAAGAAATAAAAGAAAAATCAGAAACGATAGTGAAAAGACATTTCAAGAATAAAAGAGTGGTTTGTAATGCAGAATACTACTTAGAGATTTAAAACAAACAAAAAGACTGCAAAATATAAGTTAGACTTACTGTCCAGGAAAACCTTGATGTATTTCCTGAGAAAAGATTTCATAGAAAAGAAAATGGGACCAAGAGGGAGAGGAAGGCTTTTTAAAAATTTGGATGTGAAACCTCTGAAAGGGAGGGATGATAGCTGGGCGGAGAATACCTGGAAGAGGCTTTTTCTTTTTTTTCCAAGATGAAATATAAAAAAAAAGACTGGAGAATATATTGGCAAATGACATATCTGCTAAAGGGTTAGCATCCAAAATAAATAAAGAACTGATACAACTCAACACCAAAAACCCTCAAATAATCCAATTAAAAATGGGCAGAAGACATGAACAGACATTTCTCCAAAGAAGACATACAGGTGGTCAACAGACACATGAAAAGATACTCAACATCACTCATCATCAGAGAAATGCAAAAACTACAACTACTACTACTCACACCTGTTAGGATGGCTAAAATAAAAAAACATAAGAAACAAGTGTTGGTGAGGATGTAGAGAAAAAGGAATCCTTGTGCACTATGGGTGGGAATGCAAACTGGTGCAGCCACTGTAGAAAACAGCATGAAGCATCCTCAAAAAGTTGAAAATAGAACTACCCTATAATCCAGTAATCACACTACTGGGTATTCACCCCCCAAAATATAAAAACACTAATTCAAAGAGATACATGCATCCCTATGTTTACTGCAGCACTATTTACAATAGCCAAATTATGTAATCAGCCCAAGTGTCCATAGGTAGATGAATGGATAAAGAAGAAGTGCGTGTGTGTGTGTATATATATATATATATACATATATGTATGTGTATATATATACATATATATATATATGGGGAAGTGTGTATATATATATATATATACACACACACACACACACAATGGAATACTCTCCAGCTATAAAAAAGAATGAAATCTTGCCATTTGCAACAACACATATGCAGCTAGAGAGCATACTGCTAAGCGAAATCAGTCAGAGAAAGACAAATACAGTATGATTTCACTCATATGTGAAATTTAAGAAAGGAAACAAATGAGCAAAGGGGAAAAAAGAAGAGACAAACCAAGAAACAGACTCTTAACTATAGAGAACAAACTGATGGTTACCAGAGGGGAGGTGGGTAGGGGGATGGGTTAAATAGATGATGGAGATTAAAGAGTTTACTTACTGTGATGAACACTGAGTAATGTATAGAATTGCTGAATCACTATATTGCACACCTGAAACTAATATAACACTGTATGTTAACTATACTGGAATTAAAATAAAAAGCTTAATAAAAAGAAAAGAAAAAAGACTGTAAAGATAAATACCAAAATTTAATAATCATAAACTCTTGATAGTGAGACTGTATTTTATATTTTCTTATTTATCCTTTTCCGTATCTCCCAAATCCTCTATAATGAATACAAATAACAATAAGAAAACAATATTTAAAAAATATTCTGTTCTGATAGAATTATACAATATCTACCTTCTCTATTTCAGAGACTTAACATTGTGGTTCTGACTTTATTTTTTAATTTACTTTTAAATTTTTAAAAAAGATTTTTATTTACTTGAGAGAGAGAGAAAGAACGAGAGCACAGAGGGAGAGGGAGAAGTAGACTCCCTGCTGAGCAGAGAGCCCAACGCAGGGCTCAATCCCAGGACCTGGGATCACAACCCAAGCCTAAGGCAGATGCTTAACCAATGGAGCCACCCAGGTGTCCCAAAAAAGTTCTTTTTTAAAGTGAAAGAAAAGTAATGGAGGGAACCAATATTATTGAGTACCTGAAATGTGCCTGGCTTTACGTTATCTCTTCTACTTTTCTTAACAGCCTTAGGAGGTAAATGTTATATGATGAAACTGAAATTTAGAAAGGTAATTTTTTTTTAAGATTTTATTTATTTATTTGACAGAGAGAGAGGGAGAGAGGCAGGCAGAGGGAGAGGGAGAAGCAGGCTCCCCACTGAGCAGAGAGCCTGACATGAGATTCATCCCAGGACCCTGGGATCATAACCTGAGCTGAAGGCAGACACTTAACTGACTGAGCCACCCAGGAGCCCCATCAGAAAGGTCATTTGCCCAAGGTCACACAGCCAGTCAGGCTTTGGTGCTGAGTGATATTATTTTTTTTCTTTTTTTTGCTGAGTGATATTATCATGTTTATGAAAGGTTCATTTTTTTTTAATGTTTTATTTATTTATTCATGAGAGTCAGAGAGAGAGAGAGAGGCAGAGGCAGAGGGAGAAGCAGGCTCCCCGCCTAGCAGGGAGCCTGATGTGGGATTCGATCCCAGGACCCTGGGACCATGACCTGAGCCGAAGGCAGACGCCCAACCATCTGAGCCACCCAGGCACCCTGAAAGGTTCATTTTTAAAACAGCAAATGTTAATGATTCAGAAAGATGCCTCAATGAGGAATAGTGAGCTATGAGAAAAGGAACAGTAACACTTGCTCAATTTTGCTATTCAGACTTCCCCAGGCATCATTCTTTGTTTTGCTTTTCTTATAGCTATCCAAGTAAAATGTGATTAGAGCAAACAAAAAA